GGCAGGCAGGCGCGGGGGCCAGCAGCCCCCCCAGCGTACCTGCGACAAGCCCAGGTGCACCGAGGCAGTTTCCGAGATGTACATGATCTTGCCATCCGGAGCCACGACAAATATGAAACCGTCCAACGTCTGCAGAAAACGGTTGAGGGGTGGGAAGTATAAATACATCGACAGATAGACAGATAGGTCCACCCATGAAGACAGATAGATCCATGAAGTATCTGTCCCTCAGATCTATTTTAGCAAGCAGGCATCCCTCCACAGGCTCTGATTATTCAAAAAGTTGGAAGGGAAGGGGCAGGTCCTGGAATCCCTCTAAAGTTCCTGGACCCCCGAGATACAACCCAGTTCTCAGAGGGGCCAAGCTCAAAAATAATGCAAAGTGCCTGGGATTTGTCTAAGAAGAGGTCCTGGCTACCTGGTGATTAATATGTCCATCCCAGAAATCCTGAATACTTCTATCCCATTTCAGATGTCGCTGGGGGGGTTGCACTTGGATATTTGCTAAGGAGACTTTAAGCAAGCGAGGAGGATCTGAAACTCTCTGCAGTAAAAATAAGGGACGAGACAATTTGTCAGGAACGTTTCAGCAGACATAGGTGGGACTTCTGGGTGTGCTGAGGGCCGAACAGGCCCCAAAAGGACATGCAATCCTACCAAAAATGCGCAGTGATGGTAACCTTCTTTAGTATTTCAGTCTGCGGTGAGTTTTCACATGTGTCCTACCTGATCTGTGCCTACACTAATTTCTGTGCCCGCTGAGCCCTTCTCTCCAGGACAGCCTCCTCCACCTCGTCTCCAGAGCCTCTCCCTGCCTCTACACCACCCTGAGGTTCAGCGCATTGCCAGGACTTGCCACCTTGTGAATAATTTGGGGAAAAATCATGCTCCTGGGCTCCGGGCCCAGAAGACACACCGGGGTACACTGGCAGTCCCTGTGCTGGCCAGAGCTGGGGCGAAGGGCCCAGCGGTAGCAAACTACGGCCCTGTTACAGCGCATGACATTCAACCGCGACGGTTCCTACATCTGAAGTTCCACCACCACCACCTTTTTTTTTTGTTTTGTTTTGTTTTATTAAACACATGAACAGTTAAAAATTAGCCACGGGGGCAATTAAAGGCTCAGAAGAGGGAATGATTTCTTTAATCATTAATACCGCATGGCTGTCGTTTCCAGACCAGTACCTGCAAAAGATGGGATCCCAGTTCCCTTCCAACATTGTCCAACGGGCTGGTTCGGCTAGAGTGGCCCCAGGCTTCTCCAAGTCCTGTTTATTTAAGACACACAAAAAAAGTAAGGTGAGGAGACAAAAAATTTACTCGTGTTGGCCTGCTGGAGAGGATTTTTTTTTTCTTGTATTCGCATTAATACACATATATGTATAATCTTTGGAAAACTAGACGTTGGTTTCCTTGCACAGAGAAGCCTCTTTTGCGGATTTTTTTTTTCAAAGACCTAACTCCCGTGAGAGAAAAATACCAAAAAAACTATTCTGAGTTAACTGTGAAGTTCATTCCTAAGACCTAAGCCGAAATAGCGTGCCCGATAAAAGGGCTTTTTAGTGCTGCCTTAGGCTACCGGGAACTGTCTCCTTGAACTTCAGGGAAAGCGCCTTTCTTCTCCTAACGCCACCCAAGGCATCCTGGACAACACGGAGAGCTGTGCCGAAGGAAAGGAAGGGGTGTGCGGGGGGAAGCTTCTGGAGTCGAGAAAAGGATGCGGTTAAGGTGGCACGGCGGGGTCTGGGAAGCGAAACCCCTCGGCGGCGGCCAGGCCGGCGATGGGCACCGGCCCTGCCAGCGGTGCTGAGTGGTGCTGAGCCGTGCCCGCCCGTGGTTCCTGCTCCTGCAGAAGCCAGAGCTCGGCCGCAGCCTGCCGGTTCATTAGCCAGCAGGCTGTGGAGGGGGAGCGGTAAGGACGGGCTCAGACCCCCTGCTCGCCAGAGACCACTTCCCAGTCTGATCTGTGCCCTCCTGCCCCACTCTCTCCGGGGCCACCGCCCTCCCACCCTGAAGGTTTGTGATTACCCGTTTGGGGAAGGGAGAGGGGAGCGACTGGGTGCGACTCCTCCATCTGCCCTCCCTCCCCCCCGACCCCTCTGTTAAAACCCTTTCCTCTTCAGCG